ATATATATATATATATATGAATTGAAAATACTTTTATTCATCACGGAAGCATCAAATTGGTCAAATGTGACAATCCTGAAAAATAGAATGTATGCCGGTTTCCACAAAAATATTGAGCTATTTATATATATACAGTATATATATTATATATATAAAGACATTATTAATGCATGTCAGGTGTAATAGATCAGTCTTTCCTCTCAGGAGGGGGTTTGGGTTTGTTGTGTCCGGTGTCATATGTGACCCGCTGTGCGTCTCACCCTGAAGCTCCAGACAATATGAGAGGTTAATCTACTGTCAGACACACACACACACACAGATGTGCTGCATTTGCATCCTAACAGAGACAGAAAGTGAGAATGAGACGACAACTGCTGCTGTCAGCCGTCTCTCTCTCTCTCTCTCTCTGTGTGTGTGTGTGTGTGTGTGACAGCTGCGTTTAAGAAGGCGTCCTATGAGGTCTCTCTTCGTTTGGTCTCTCGTCCTTCACTCTGGTTCAGTGGTGGCGGTAGCTCTCTCTCTCTCTCTCTCTCTCTCTCTCTCTCTCTCTCTCTCTCGCTCTCTCTCTCTCTCTCTCTCTCTCTCTCTCTCTCTCTCTATTTTGTGTGTTGTGCATCATGCTATTCTTCTCGTTTAACAGCGCTGAGTGTGTATCAGAGCGCCAGAGAAACCAATGCAGCGGCACGCTCAGCTCAGAGACACACACGAGAGAGGGATAAATAGATCATGAATGAACGGAGACCATTACAAGATTAAATGATGTGACGGTGAGAGACAGGCAGATATACTATATGGACAGAGACAGAGAGCTATAGACAGGCATTCTGGATATATATATATATATATATGAATTGAAAATACTTTTATTCATCACGGAAGCATCAAAATGGTCAAATGTGACAATCCTGAAAAATAGAATGTATGCCGGTTTCCACAAAAATATTGAGCTATTTATATATATACAGTATATATATTATATATATAAAGACATTATTACTCACACACACACACACACACACACACACACACACACACACTCTTCAGTAGTTTAACTCGTGGTGTGTGTCTTTGATCATACGTATGTCATGTTTTCCATGTCTGTATCAGAAGCTCATCGTCTCTCTAATTAACTCATTAATGGCGTGAGATCTGGCTCCGCCCACTGTCACTGCACCCTCGTTAAGAGCTGCCGCTGATGGCCAATTAACTCCATTGATTATACAGATCAGATCAGAGTTGAACTCTGAAAGCCTTTATAATGAATGTATTTATATTTAAATGTCATTAATGAAAGCGAGAGACTGACCTTCATCGCTCTTCATCTGCCTCTGTCTCTCTGTTTTCTGCACGTTCAGAGATTGTGTAGATGCACACACAGCAAAATGTCACTCAGTCGGTCAGTGGTGATCAATACACTGATTCAATCTGTGTGTGTGTCACTGCATTGATCATGTCAAGTCAAATTGTTTTGTACAGCGCTTTTCACAACACACAGTCTCAATGTAGCTTTACAGAAAGTCATGATGTTAATGTTTATAATATCTTAATATCTTAGCAGATTAGAGCTTGATGATAATATAGTTTACATTCGGAGGCTATATAAACAATCAAGCAGCTGAGGTTTGCTATATGTGTATCACTTTATGTGAGTGAGAAAGTCTCTACTGCACACCAGGGCTGCATTTATTTGATCAAAAATACAGTAAAAATTGTGAAATAATATTATAATTTAAAACAGCTGTTTTCTATGTGCATCTCTGTTAAACTGTAATTTATTTCTGTGATGTGCAGCTGTATTTTCAGCATCATTCCTCCAGTCTTCAGTGTCACATGATCTTCAGAAATCAGTATAATATGCTGATTTGCTGCTCAAGAAACATTTCTGATTATTATCAATGTTGGAAACAGTCGTGCTGCACAATATTTTTGTGGAAATTGCGATTTATAACCATTCAAAAATTTGGCATAAACAAGAAAAAAGAAAGAAATTAATACTTTTATTCATCAAAGATGCATTAAATTGATCAAAAGTGTCAGTAAAGACATTTATAATTTTACAGAAGATTTCTATTTCAAATAAATGCTGTTCTATTCATCTGTGAATCCTGAAAAATAAAATGTATCACAGTTTCTACAAACATAACATATATAATAATCAGAAATGTTTCTCGAGCAGCAGATCAGCATATTATACTGATTTCTGAAGATCATGTGACACTGAAGACTGGAGGAATGATGCTGAAAATACAGCTGCGCATCACAGAAATACATTACAGTTTAACAGAGATTCACATAGACAACAGCTATTTTAAATTGTAATAATATTTCACAATTTTTACTGTATTTTTGATCAAATAAATGCATGGAGTAATGATGCTTTGCTGAGTGGCTGTAAAACACAAACACACACACACTGAGAATCAGCCGTAAATCAGAATAATTTGCATATTAGATGAGGGCCGGATGAGCAGGTGTAGCAGGTCGTTTTTCATCTTTGTTTTTTCTTTGTTTTTCTGTCCATCTGTGAGGACTTTAAATCACCCAGAAACAGCAGCCGCAATTACACACACATACACAGCCGCAATCACACACACACACACACACACACACACACACACACACACACACACACTCACTCACTCGCACTCACTCACTCACTCACTTTCTGTCAAACACACACACACACATGAGAAAATGAAACGCTGAAGGAGGAGCAGATGATGTGGAAAATGTTCTTCATCATCACCTTTTGCTCGGCCCTTCATATCCTCTGCGGTTTCGTCTGTATCTCTCGCGGGATGTAATAACTTGTTATTCTTTCTCATTCTGCCTTTCTCTGGCTGTAGATAAATGCAGTATCGGCACGCTCTGTCACTCTCTGTGCATTCAGCCCTGTTGCATTCATATCTGCATATCTATTCCTTCATCGCCTCTCAGCTTTAATATAATTACTGTAACGCTGCCTTTGATGGCTTATTGCTCTGTCAACGGTATGCATTGCTTAATTACACTTTTAATTGTGTAATTGTTGCATAAAGCCTGTCCTGTAGATGCTTTTGAGTCTGTATTGCATCTGCACAGCAAAAACAAAACAGCTTTCTTATTCAGGAGTTTTGTCTTGTTTTCTAAAATATCTAAACGTTCTTGAAACAAAATTGTGACTTGTCAAATAATGCCAAAAATGTAAATAAATATAAAATAATTAAATTAAATAAATACAATGTAAAATACAATTTTATATATATATACACTGAATACAATTATAAACGCAACACTTTTGTTTTTGCCCCCATTTGTCATGAGCATCTTACCCGATTAATGAATAGATTTTCTTTGTGTTTTTTATATAAACCTATATTTAAAAAAAATATGCATTTTAAACATTTACACTGCAAATTGAAATGTTCTTCGTTAGTATTTTTGTCTTGTTTTCCAGTACAAATATCTAAACATTTTTAAATCAATATACCTTTTCTTGAAATGCAAAATGACTTAAGTCTTATTTTCTATAAATTTTTTTTATTTTTTTTTATTTTTTTTTTTTAGAAAATAATACTTCTTAAGTCCTTTTGCATCTGAATTAAATTTATCTTGATTTAAGAATGTTTAGATATTTGTACTATAATTTTTTTTTGCAGTGTACATTGATTTAGCTTATGCTTTCATCAGAATAAGTGACTGATCCTGATCCAAAGATGCTCAAAGCACACAAGTTATCTGGTTTTTGAGGGTGTTTTGACTGGAAAACAAGACAAAAATCCTGATAAGAGGAGCATCTGTTGCGTTGCAGGGCTGACGCTCAGCTTGTGGAGGCATGTGGATGATTTAATCAAAGGAGTGCACTCGCAGTGTGGGTTATTGATGTTGGGTGTGTTTGGTCAAGCTCTTGTTGTCTGATTATTCAGCAGATGGTTTCTGATCCGCAGTGGCATTTTCTGGCATTAATGTGGCTGATTTCTGTATCTGTTCATGAATCAGGCCTTCTGGGATTTAAACCCACAACCTTCTGACGTCTGGATTCATGTGTGTGTGTGTGTGTGTGTATGTGTAATATCTCTCTGAAACTCTTGACACTTTAAGTGTCTCTGGTGCGTCTTCACAACTCCGGATCTTGAGCACGCACACACACACACGCACTCTGCCATCTGCTGCGCTCTCTGTGTGCCAGGGAAACAGAGCTGCGACACAAACACACACTCACTCACACACACACACACACACACACACACACACACACACACACACACACACACACACACACACACACACACACTCGTGTTGAAGTACCGTCTCTCATGGATAAGAGCAGAGAGATTCATTTTCTTCATCATTGAGATGTGAAGATGAAATGTCAGATGAGTTGATGTGTGTTAAACGTTGCAGATGTCAGTAGAGTTGAAACACTAAAATGGACAGAATGAATTGTCCCAGTTTTGTTTCTTGATAAAATGTATTTTAAATATATGCTAAATATACAGTGGGAAAAAAAAGTATTTAGTCAGCCACCAATTGTGCAAGTTCTCCCACTTAAAAAGATGAGTGGAGTTTGGAGTGTGACTGTTTGAGGTTGTGGACAGGTGTCTTTTATACTGATAACGAGTTCAAACAGATGCCATTAATACAGGTAACGAGTGGAGGACAGAGGAGCCTCTTAAAGAAGAAGTTACAGGTCTGTGAGAGCCAGAAATCTTGCTTGTTTGTAGGTGACCAAATACTTATTTTACCGAGGAATTTACCAATTAATTCTTTAAAAATCCTACAATGTGATTTTCTGGATTTTTTTTTCTCATTTTGTCTCTCATAGTTGAGGTATACCTATGATGAAAATTACAGGCCTCTCTCATCTTTTTAAGTGGGAGAACTTGCACAATTGGTGGCTGACTAAATACTTTTTTGCCCCACTGTATGTTGCAGACAGTGGGACTCAATTAAATATATATATTTAGTTTGAACCTTCATATCAGGGTTATTTTAGTCAACTAAAAGAAAAAAAATTTCCTTACTTGGGAAAAACAACGACAACAACAAAAATATATATATATATATTTTCAGCTAGTTAGCAAGGCAGGATTTTCTCATTTTCATTTAGTTTAACTTGACATACTAAAATAACTACAACTAAAACAAAAAAATGCATAAAACAACAAAGAGTAGTAAAAATGACAAAAATACACACCTGATGTTTATTTTTTATGTATTGTAAGATGCTTTTTTTCTTCTTTTTTGGAATTATTATAAAGTATGTTCCTTGCTGATTTTGATTAAAATGTGTTATAAGTTCACACGTGTTATGGGTTAGGTTTTCTTAAAGAAAATTAAGGTGTTCTTAAAATGGAATATATATTCATATTTTTTAGAAATATATATATATTAGGGGTGGAATGGTACACAGATGTCACGGTTCGGTATGTACCTCGTTTTGGGGGTCACGGTTCGACACCATTTAGGTACAACAGGAAAAAAAAACAAATCTACTATGCTCGGTTTCTTTTCCTTTATTTTGAACAGACAGTAGTACAAATTAAAAAATGTTCCACCTAGATGTGAAAATACAAAATATTATTGCATTGTTATATATGTAAAATCTGCAGTAAATATATACATACAAGGAATAAATTCTTGAAATATATTTGATTTAGTTTACAGATAAACAAGGGAAAAAAACAGTGCGACACGTAACTTAGTCTATGCACGCTGAGTTTCAGT